CAAAGCGCCAGTGGCAACCGTTCTCGATCCGAACGGCAAACTCTGCGTAACGCTGACCTACGGAAAGCTTCTGAGCCGTTCGCACAAGATAGCGTACACGCTGCTGAACAAGGCGCTGAGCCGCGGCGGGGATTGCTGCCTGAAGCCCGGCGACCGGATCGCCCTGGTCTATCCGAACAACGACCCGATAAGCTTCATGTGCGCCTTCTACGGTTGTCTTCAAGCTGGTATCGTACCTGTACCGATCGAAGTCCCCCTGACCCGTCGGGACGCAGGCTCCCAGCAAATCGGCTTTCTCCTGGGTAGCTGTGGAATTCAGGTGATGAGTCCAAACGGACGAAAGCAATGGTTTCGTTACCCACGTGTGTCCTCTCCAGTCTCTCCGAATCATCTCACACTGGGGAATTCAGGAATTCGGTAATTTGCAGGTGGCGTTGACCAGCGAAGCTTGCCTGAAGGGTCTGCCAAAGACGGCGGCCGGCGAGGTGGTGGCGTTCAAAGGTTGGCCAAAGCTTCATTGGTTCGTCACGGAACACTTGGGCAAAACGCCGAAGGATTGGCTACCACCGCCGCGACTCACCGACGACACTCCGGCGTACATCGAGTACACCACCGACAAGGATGGCTCGGTGATGGGCGTGACGGTGACAAGATCGGCGATGCTGGCACATTGTCGAGCTCTGACGCAAGCCTGCGGCTACACGGAGGGGGAGAACGCCGTGTGCGTTTTGGACTTCAAACGGGAGGTCGGCCTCTGGCACAGCACCCTCACCAGCGTACTCAACGGGATGCACGTGATTTTCATTCCGTACGCCCTGATGAAAGTGAATCCCGCCAGTTGGATGCAGATGATCACGAAGCACCGTGCCAGCGTGGCGGTGGTGAAGTCGCGAGACCTTCATTGGGGCCTCCTGGCCACCAAGGATCACAAGGACATCTCCTTGTCGTCGCTGAGGCTGTTGTTGGTCGCAGACGGTGCCAATCCCTGGTCTCTCTCTTCCTGCGACCAGTTCCTCTCCGTATTTCAGTCGAAGGGTCTGCGACCGGACGCCGTGTGCCCGTGCGCGTCCTCCAGCGAAGCCCTCACCGTGTCGGTCAGAAGACCAGGCCGTGCCGGAGTGAACGCCACTGGACGAGGCGTGCTCTCCATGTCCGGGCTGAGTTACGGCGTCGTCAGAGTCGATCAAGAGAACTCTCTCACCTCTTTGACGCTTCAAGATTGCGGTCAAGTCATGCCAGGAAGTACGTTCTTTCCTCCAAGGTTGTACAGGCTGGAAAGAAAAGTTTGTTCGTAAAGAACCTGGCACAAAATTGATCTTGACCTTGAATATCAATTTGTTTTTTTTTTGCATTGCATTCTAGTCATCGCGAAGGTAAAACTTTTCCAAAGAACCATAGGTCGTAACCTAATAGTTCTCTTGCAAATGGCAAAAAAGTTTCTTAATCATCTAACGTTGTGGACGCGTGCGTTCTAACAGCGACTTTATGATTCTGGATTAGGTTTCACCAACATTTGATTTATCATAGTTGTAGCATCAGTGTGAGTCTAAATAATCAAATAACAAAACTGTTAACATTATTCGACATATAAACGTTACATCCATATATCCAAAACCATAAAGTCGTTGTTAGAACTCGCATGTCCGCAGTGATAAATGATTAAAGAAATTTTTCAAGAGAACTATTAGATTCCTTGGGAAAAGTTTTATCTTCATGATAAATAGAATACAATACGAATAAAAGAAAGAAAAATTTGACCTTGAAATTCAGGGCGAAGGTCAATTTTGCGGCAAGTTCTTTACATGTCGTATTTCCATCAAATCGAATGTGTAGAATTTAGCCACGGATAAACTTCTGTTTTCACCCTGTGCGTGCGACTCATGGCACAAATGGAAACTGGAAATACGTGTCCGATTTTCAGGTATCGTGGTTGTGATCAAGATGGAGGGTCAGCCGTTCATCTGCAAGACCGACGAAGTAGGCGAGATCTGCGTGCACAGCTCGGCGACTGGGAATCAATACTGGGGGCTGCAAGGGCTGACGAACAACACGTTCAAAGTCTCTCCGCTTCAAGCCGACGCGAGTCCGCTCGGCGACGTAGAGTACACCCGTTCTGGTTTGTTGGGTTTCTTGGGCCCTGGCGGTCTCGTGTTCGTTTGCGGCTCGCGCGACGGCCTCATGACCGTCACCGGGAGGAAACACAACGCCGACGATATCATCGCCACGGTGCTAGCCGTCGAGCCAATGAAGTTCATTTACCGCGGCAGAATAGCCGTTTTCAGCGTGCGCGTCCTCAGGGACGAGCGAATATGCGTCGTCGCGGAGCAACGACCCGACTGCAGCGAAGAGGAGGTGCGTTTCCAAGTTGTCACTCGCCTGTAATAGAACTTCAAGCTCGACGAATTCTCTAATCTGTGCGTACGTTCATCCTGCCAGAGTTTTCAATGGATGTCCCGGGTTCTTCAAGCGGTCGATTCCATTCACGCCGTTGGCATATACTGTCTGGCGTTGGTCCCGCCAAATTATCTTCCGAAAACGCCGCTGGGCGGTATTCACCTGTCGGAAACGAAACGACGTTTCCTAGAGGGTACTCTTCACCCGGCTAACGTTCTCCTTTGTCCACACACTTGCGTTACCAACCTACCGAAACCACGCGAGGTCCATTCAGGTAAGAGATTGCACATTCATCAGTGAGTTTGTCCCCGAACCAGGTGTCGATTGAACTTACACGGACTTTCGACGAATTACATGAATGTCAGCAAGTACAAAGACGTATATACATTCCTTTTCTTTTTTTTTTTTTTTTTTTTTT